AGTATTCCTTTGAGGTCTCCAGAGTTGCTGACGGGCAGAATCTCTTTCACGCCCATGCGAGCTGTTTAGCGAGGCAGATGGGGTGTCCTGAGCACTGGTGTGAGCAAAACGATGACACCGCTATTAGCATAATAGCCCTAGCATGCACATGCGTCGTCGTTATGGATTTTTATGGGGGGTGTGAGGAGACAGACAAAAGCAGTTAACATTGGGCAAGGCCCCAGCGCTGGCGGTACATCCCACCCCTCGGATTGGCCAAGAGGATCCAACACTTGCATACATCTCGCATTAAAAGTCCCATTTAAATGCACTTAAAGTTAGCGTAGCAGCTACTATTAGAAGTGCTAGCATCTGGATCATACCAGCTAAGACGGCAGCACTAAAGCCGTAGCAGACTTCAAGGAAAGACATGGGCATGCTAAGCTAGTGGTGTGTAGCCCGTAACCAGACATATTTGCATTCACAGTCTACTACAACAACAACAGCAACCTCCTGGTGGATGCGAAAAGATTGGATTTGCCATCTAGGCCACTCCAAGGTGACAGCTACGCAGGTTGTTTACGGTTGACTCTTTCAGGGTGAATCAATGGATGGATTCACTACCATCCAGTAGAGTGATCAATACTCTTCTCCGTGAGGTCTTTTGCAATCGTGTTCTAGTGGTAAGACATAAGAATAGGGACTAATTTCAAAGAAAGTATACTTAGCTCGCCGGTAATTTCAACCTCATCATCATTATCATCACCATCATCATCATAATCACCACGCTGTAACAACTAGGCCTTATTGCTTGTCTAGATTAAACTAGTGCTGTTTTCTTGTTTACTCTGCATTACGCATTGATTTGCCGAGTTGGCTTCTCTTCCATGCAGTCCCATAGCACTGATGAATCTTTTCCTTCTCCAGGGGATGAAGCCATTGTGGGAAGCCCTATTTGACACCTGCTATTGTCTGTTTTTAGAAAACGCTCTGACCTCTCCGTCGATGTACTAATCATGTCTGCATGGTTTGGCTGGATTGGCCTTTTTAACCTTCTTTACAGCAGATACAGTGATGTTAATCGGCAGGTATTCGGGACTGGAATGGCAGTAGCAAGAGAAGAGACAGAGGGGTGTACACACTATAGACCGCTGTATAGCTCAGTGGGATCTAACAATGCAGTGAGATACATCACCGTTGATATGCTCTTCTTGCAAACCAATTAAGTCTGTATAGCTCATACTCATTCGGTCAATCCCTCTGCTTTGCACATCCTTACACATTTTCCATGTTGCCTTCATTTTCTGTCCACGCTTTAAATCCTTCCACTCAACTCTCATCCCATCACACTTTTTCTCAGGTTCCACCCGTGCCTCAATTTTCACACCATGCCTCTCCCCTTCTCACCCCCCCTGCAGGCGGTATGAGGCATATCCTGTGTGTGCAGACCTGCAGGGCCAGATCCTCGCATGCTACAAGGACAACGTCGGAAAAACCCTGAACTGCTCCAACATAGCGGCACTCTACCTACAGTGTGTCAACAACACCAAACAGGTGCGCATTTACCCAACTAATCTGTTATCGCTTGTCGTATCTCGTGCAAACGTCATTTGACACGCTACGCTAGCATCTTTTGCATATGCTAAGTTATGTTTGTGTTTTTTGCATTCTTGTTGAGTGAAATGAATGAGCATTTCATTGCGTGCAACTTGTACCCTTTTCGAAAAATACGTAAAACTTAATTCGTATGAAACCCCCTCATGAATAACGTTGTTTTCCCCCTCTGAAAAGAATCACAAGTGTGTGCATGCACCCTCGTGGACGGACGATATGTAAGTTGTAGCGCCTCCTAATCCTGCGGTGTAGCTTTCATTTGAATCGATGTGTGCATTACAAAGTAGCCCCATGTGTGTGTTAGCTACACAATACGTCATTGGGCTTATAGACGTGTGTGTGTATGGTAGCTACACTTTAGGAGCCATTCCCCTTTTTTAAACGTCTAAATGAATTAATGTAATATACACGTACGCACCAGCATCCATTTACATGTGCTGGCTCCTGGCTTTTAGACAGGAGAATAGGATTTCCACCGGGCTACTGGCGCCTGAATACAGCTCGCTCTAAATAGCCAGTTTAAACCTTACGGCCTATTTCCATAATACCTGCTGACACAGGCGTTCCCCTGACTGTCTCTGTGTGTGTTTTAATGTAATAAGACCAAGGGAGTAGTGCTGCTGCTAGTTGGGTACCGTTGTCCTCTCCGTGCTCTCTACTTTCATTGCCAAGTGCAAATGTTTTCCCGCCATCTGTCTCCCCCGGTCGCACACTGTATGGTAATAGTAATGTCACTCAGGTTCATATTAACTTGATTCCACCTCTCTCACTTTGCAATATGTAACATCGCTTGGCTTCAAAAAAAGCTCAATTTACATTCATAGAGCTTTTCTATTAGATTTTTTTTTTTTTCTTTTTATGCAATTGCATTGTTTTGCCGGAAATGAAGGAAACTGAGTTTTGTGTCTCTCGCTCACTCGTGAGTATTGGTATTGGATATAAAAGTCAGATGCAGGCTGCAGATTTTTTTTTTAAGCTATAGATCATGTAAATCGCACGATGTTTTATTCATCGTGTGGGCGCCCGCGCGTGCATTTAAGACGGCTACCTGTAGACTCGTCGAGATGCAAGCAAGGGTACGTTCACAGGCGGGATGCTGTTATGATCTTGTAAATTGTTTGGAAGCAAGCCTGAGACGATATGTTAATCCGCTTGTGTTTATCGCCCTGCGGCAATCACAGCACACTCCTGTTCATCTGCGCTTATCTGTATCAGACTTGCTTTTACCCATTTGGTGCAAAAAAAAAAGAACCAGTTCTGTGATAAGGCTTTAAAGGAATAATATGCAGAATTACACAGCCGACAAAATAGGGGGAAGGGAAGAAGTCGGATTGATATGAGCTGATGCAGCTTCCTGATTAGGATGTTTACACAGCTTTATCAGAGCCAAGCAGGGAGCTGCACTGAGAACAAATGTCAAAGGACGTGGCTTTGACCTCCTGGAGGTCAGAAGATCAAAACTGCGCTAACAGCCGCCTCTCATCTCCTCTCCTCTTTCTGTCAAAGCCACTCGATAGCAGAGGTCGGGCCGTTTTCAAATCTCTTTCCCCTTCTTCGTCCTTCCCCTTCAAATCTTCAATTCCACTTAATAATGCGGCACCATGGGTGTAGATGGGGAAGATGTCCAAGATTCTGTCTCGCTGGGGATAAAAAAAAAAGAAAATCCCCCAAATCTCAGTTTTACAATATTGACCCCTCGACTGGAGTCAGCCCAGCCGGCCTTTGTCACTGATAATTAGCGTTCTTATCGCCACAGTCAGTGATAACATTTAAACCCACTTTCGCTCTCTTTTGTGCCCTTTTTTTGCTCTGCCACCATCCCTCCTTCCCTCCTTCCTTCTGCTATCCCTCCTTCGCTCCCTCCTTCTGCTATCCCTCCATCCCTGGTCACATTCCTAATGCATTGAGCACTTAACAGGTCCCGATAGTAAACAGTGAGGAAGAGGCAGTCGAAGGACAGATAAAGTCTCCCTTTCTTTCTCCCTCTATGAGTAAGAGTTTATCATGGAAGCCCATCTTTCCATCCGCTGCTTGCCTCCTCATTCCATATTCTCACCGCATGGCCGCGTCTTTCTCCCTATCTTTTCCTTCCCCACTTCATTTTAGTTTTTTAACACTGACCCTTCCGTCTCCTTTTTGCTCTCAAAGGGCCAAGAGAGATCCCCGTTTGTGGTTTCTGAGGGTGTTGTGTTTGCTCGGTTCAAAGTGAAAAGGGAGGTGGCTCGTATAACTGTTCCAACAGCATCTTAAGTATTGACATTTCAATCCAAATTGCTGACGATTTAATTCGTCCTGTCTATATTTTTAGACGTCAGTAAATCTCGTCTCAGAATATATTTTATTTTTGATTCCATAGATGCGTTTTGGCCGTTTCTCTAATCAGTGATTACATGAAAGTTGGTGACCGATCTCTGAGAACGCGTATCGATATTGCATTAAGAAACACAAGTAGTCAAGACACCCATAGAGGTTCTAAAGACCCCCCCAGGCTAGCCACACGTACCTGGAAGGGAAAGCAAACGTGAACATCAAGTTATTACCCAATGAACTTACTCTATCTCGTCCAAAGCCCCAATTATTAAGTTGGTGAGTGAGGAAGAAGATCTTTTTCTTACTTTCTGTCTACGTAATCCTCTTCGTCATGTCCCCAGTTTCATCTCCCCCTTTTCTCTCTTTCGCTCTTCTTCTCTGAGGCGGTTTTCGTTCGGCGGCATCCGCTGCAATAGCACGGTTCAAATGGTTATTGACAGGCAGACGGGGAGTGCTGGGGATTTGTGGTTGCACTTATCGCTTACATGGAATCCACTGCCCTCGGGTCTTTTCTCCTCTCCTACAACTCACTCCATCCTCCACCGTTTTATTGTACTCCCAGGCCTTCCTCTGACCGACTTGTCTCCTGTGAGGGACGTAATATCTTTCTCCTTTGTTTGTTTGTCTATTTTCATTTTATCTCCGTCTCTCTAATGCACTTCTCTCTCTGCTTTTTTTTGTCTGCAGAACAAGTTGAGGACCGGGGGTTAAGGTAGCGAGTGGAAGAAAGAGAGAGCAATGAAGAGTTTATCGTGTGGGATTACTGATTATCGACCGACTGACTAACAGACCAAACCGGAGTGGAGGAAGGAGTGAGTCAGCACCAAGACACACACCCTCAGAACCCGCGTGGAGAACCAAACCCGGATCAGACGACAGGCACCGAGCACAGCACCCTGATAGAGAAATAGACATGTTTTCCCCTCCATTCTTCCCCCACTTCCCCACCTCTCTTACCTTTTGTCTATCTCTCCTGTGAGTGTGTAGCGAGGCAGGGACACAGTCTGCCATTTTGGAGACAGAGCAGGGACTGACAGGACCCTGCAGGCCTGAGTTTGGCCCACTAGAAGGACAGTAAATATGAACCGGACAAAAACCACAAAGAAAGCAAGCCGCCACTTGGACCCATCCCCTCTCACCTCGACACTGTTAGGAAAATAAAAGTCTATTTTTACGAGTAAAAGTCAGTCTTATTTTGTTGTCCATACTTGATTGTTGTCCTGCTCCTAATGCACTATCCCAGTAAACAAATACACATGTACCCATCTGTTTCGTCTTTGCATCTGTTCGTGCGAGATTGAGTTGTTAATAATGTAACTATCTGCGTGTTGAGTATTCATACAGACCAACGCTTGTGACAATGTGTGATCAGAGGAAATAAAAGACGAAACAATGCAGCAACTGTTGTTGAACTTTTCTCCGTGAATATTCAGCGGGCTCCATCTCTCTCGTGTGTGTCTGTGTGTATTTTATGGTAATTACAGCAAGCATTGTACATCTTTGATGGATGCGCGGCCCTCGTGTTGTCGCAACGACATTTTGCCAAACGGAGTGAATGAGCCCAAGAGAGGGGGGGGACTGGAGCGCTGGGGTAACATCCGTCCCAGATGTTCTGCTTCATAATCTAGCTTTCTCTCTGTTCCTCTAGCTGTCTGTCTTTCTTTATGAACCTCTGTTGTGTGAATCCTCGGTGCGCTCTAGCTATTCAGTGAACGAGCAGGGATCTCCTCTTCCTTATCCCCTCATTGTCCCACTTTCCTTTTTACTTATGTACTTCTTTCTGTCTTCTTCCTGACTAGAGTGTTTCTTTCTCTGCTCAGTCTCCCAGGCTAACGTTGCCTTGGAGGAGACGGCTTCTCTACGGTGTCTGCACTCTGCCAGACTCTCTGGGTTGGGTTTAAATGGATAGACAGACACTGTATGTATCTGTGTGTTTGGATTGACAGTGCACGCGGATGGGTGGGGTTATAATGCAGCCAGCCACACATGTTTTGTATGCAGTAATAGTGTGTGTGTGTGTGTGTGTGTGTGTGAGGGGACGCCGTCTGGGTTTGATGTGGAGGCAGGTGATCATATAGGAAACGTTATCTTAATACTGCATCGGAAGAAGAAAGTGTGTGTGTGAGAGTGTGAGAGAGAGAGAGAGAGAGAGAGAGTGCGAGTGTGTGATGGACAGAGCGACCGGGAGAGAGTGAGAGGCAGGCTGTGTGTGTGCGCGTGCAAGCATGTGATTCGTTCTGACTAATCCCCCTGTTGTCTGTCAGTCAGCTGTCCTCTTGCCTTTTGACTTTTGGAGTCTCGAAGGGGGTGAGGGGTTGACTTCCATTATACTGTGTGTGTGTGTGTGTGTGTGTGTGTGTGTGTGTGTGTGTGTGTGTGCACGCGCACGCGCAGGCGTTGGAGGGGTTTTCTAAAGGTTGGGGATAATGGCTATTGGAGTTCATGGCAGGTGTTTCTCCACAAGCCCGTCTTATTTCTTTTTACCCCACTTGTCCCCCCCCCCTCCCCCGTGACTCGGACGGAAGCTGCACGACTCCTCTATCCGACCCCGTACCTCCGAGCCAAGATAAGTGATTTAACGGTGTATTCTGTCTGTAATGAGATTATATCCCCTCTAATATGATTAAAGGATGATTAGAGAATCATGAACGTGGAGCTCACCTTTTCCTTTTAAAGGCCTCCACCACGACCTCAACAACCTTTGTCAACGATAGCTTTTATGTGGAGAGTTCTCTTGACCCTTATGAGATGCAGAAAAGGGAGCACTATGTTTCTTGAGTTTGATGCATTTCCTGAGAAACCGTATAAGGGAAGGGCGTAATAACATTCAAAATTTATGTAGTGCTGGAATTTATATTCCCGCCTCCTGCAGCCACTGTTAAAATATTCCAATTTTCAGGTGGTAGAAGTAATGAGATTTTGATATAAGGCTTTTTTTCTGGTGTAAATACAGCAATAAGTGTTCCTAATAACAGAGTGGGCTGAACGGATGAAATCTTTTTTTTTTTCATCGCGGTGCAACTTCCCCAAGTGTTGCTGAGGTGTCCTTGAGCACCGAGCTGCTCCTCAATACTGAAGTGGAGCTGCACAGTGGCAACAGGCGGTGTTCAAATCGTGTCGGGAGTTCTCGGGGTCGGGCCGACGGGGGACGCTGTGAGGAGAACAACATATGAAATAAACAGGTATGTGAAGGTCAAACAAGTCTGGCTTTCGCTTCGTGTTTTTCGTACAGCCAGTAATAACATAAAATGGTGCAAAACGCTAATCCCCATTTCAGGTAATCTATTCATCAAAAGCTGTGACCTCATTCAAATGTTCAGTATTAAAGATAAAAATCAGAAACTAATTATAACTTGTGTTTTTATTTTGAATGAGGAAATGGTTTCCATGCATCTTTTGCTTAAAGGCGTCCCTTTTAATGCACGTGCACCGTTAGCGCCGTTAGCTTCCAGCCGCTGCCTCAGCCATCGCCATGTTGAGAGCCGCGTGGAGGCAGTAGATATGCTGTGAATTTTTCGAATTCAGCACCTTTAACGTAACACATTACAAACTTGCTGCTGCAGCACAAGAGTGAATCCAAAATATCTTTGCCAAAATATGTTTGCCAGTAACTGAATGCTAAAGATGTGCCTCCAAGGCCTTTGGTACTTTTCTAATTCAATCTCGATTGTCATTGTTATGTCTCTTTGAGGCTGCTACCTCAGGACAATCTGTTTTTCTGTTCTAAATTTTTGTGCCAAAATGTTACTTTAAACTTTGTCAGTCCATGTTCACACAGCACGATCGAGACTCATACATTTACCCACTGCAAACGCTGCAATATCTCCTCCTCTTCATGACCGTCTGTGCTGAAGACGGTGCAAATCGTTGTGATCATTCCTTTAGTTTGGTAGCTACGGGCATGAGGACCAAGACATTGGATGGTCAGCACTGTTGTCACACAATGTCTGTCTCGTTAGCAGCCTAGATTTGACACACTTTGGGGAAACGCCAGGAGAGGAGTCTTCTCACAGTATATGACAAAATACGAGAAGTCACGCACCCGGTGTAGGAAGGAAAAAGTAAAGTACATTCAGAGTGTTGCACCCTGTCCCAGGAGAAGTGATGTATCGGTATCTGTCGGTGTTTCTTTAAGTGCTCCGCACACCATCTGTCCCTGTATGAGCAGAGAAACTGTGTCACTCCCAGCAACACCAGTTCCTGCATTGGGCCGTATGAAGCGATTAAGATAAAGCTACAGTTTAGTTTCACTGCTTTTAGGATATTTCAATCCTATATTGCCTCTGTAGAAAAAAAAATACCAGATGCACTCAACTCTGAAATACAAAAGACAGCCTCCTCCACCATGATGACTAATCACATTTGATTTAATGACCTGCTCTGAAAAGAAAAAAAATTGCTTTTTCCTTGAAAGTTTTCCCCACACTCCCTCTCTGGCTCTTATCCGTGTGTGTGTGTGTGTGTGTGTGTGTGTGTGTCTCTCTCTTTGTGCCTTTTAGTGTCTCTCCACATAGTCAATCCCCATTCTTGTGTTTGCATTTACTCTCCTTTTTTTTGTTCTTTTGTTCTGTCTCACTCTCCTCCTGCTTTGTTTTCTTTTTGTTTTTCACTTTTTGTTTTTTTCCCCACTTCTTTCTCTCACTCTGTAACTCATCAAGGATACTGAGACCGGCAGCCTGAGGGGCGGATCTGTTGGCGGTGATTGGCTCTCCTTGCTTGCCAATGAGGTGTGAAGCGTCTGCCACGCTGCTGTAACTCTTCTCTGAGGGCCACACACACACACACACAATATGCTCCGAATAGATATAAGATCTTGACAAATGCATTCACCCAACAAAAATTAAAAACACAACAGAAGACACTTCGGGAATGTGCTCACGGATGGTCGTCTAGGCAAGGACACCTCGTCTCGTTTGGACTTCAGCGAGACACACATGCACACACACGTAAAGAAATGTTCCTGGTTGCCAGTGGGGCCTGCAGATGAGAGTCGGCCATCACACACTCCATTCTAGTAATGGGCAGGCAGATGGCAGCCTGCTCTGTAGCCTCTGCTTAGGCTGATGGCTCTATTCATCAGGCTGCTCGCCCTCCCTGCAGCTCTGCACCAGGCTACAATTTACGGAGGTCTCTCTCCCTCACACTCCCTCTCTCTGAGTCCGCGCTGTTGTCTGTCTGCTTGGCGCCTTAAAACACCTTTTGGTTCCAGCCAGAGTTTCTGCTGCTGGGGGAGCGAGTTATTGGCTGTGCTGCTACCTTCCTGTCTTTTTTTTTTTTTTTTTTTTTTTTTGGGCAGACTGAAGTTTTGGTCATGCAAACACTATTTGGAGGCAGAGTTGCTTGGTGGCAGAGGAAGTCTCACTGGACTGAGTCGAACTAAAGTGGTGACTGAGCCAAAACGGCAGTTTACTGCAGTGAAAGCTATATCTACCTTGCAATAAAACGACTTCCAGTTCAATAAATATCAAATAAAGTTTGCTATTTTGGGAAGTGTGTTTATTTGCTTTCTTACCAAGAGTTGTATAAGATATGATATTACATGAATACCACTTTTATATCTCTGTACATAAAGCTACAGGCAATAAAATGCACCTTGCAGCACATCTAAAGGTGCAGTATTTCTCTGTAACGACCGTCGTCACTCGTAACCTCAGAGTGACGACAAGACTTCAGGTAGTTACTGCTCTGAGCCAAGAAATAGTCCGGCACATAACCCACTGTAAAACCTGTAGTAACAATCAAACGGACAACATATAACATGTGAAATTGGGGCGCTGCAGAAGGGCTTGTGGGCAATTTTTGTTACCTTAAGACTGATCCAGGCTAGCTGTTTCCACCTGTTTCCAGTCTTTATGCTAAGCTATGGTATATTTACCGGAGAGATTTCAGATTGATGTCAATCTTCTCATCTGACTCTCCGGAAGAAGGCAAATAAGCATGTTTCCATACATTTAAAAACTAGCTAAACAACATAAATGATCACTGCTCCTGTTTATTAATGATGTGTGGTGGCCATTTGATGGCAAGTCAGCAGAATAAAGGAGCTTCAGTAGATTTTGGATATAGTTTTTGGATGACAGATTTGAAAAGGCGGGAAACAATAAGTTATCTGTCCCTCTGTTATACACGATGTGTGTTGTAATCGGCAACTAAATACGAACATGTATCGACAATTAAAACTCTATTTACTACTATACTACTACTTTAAGTGCTTCTCTTCTCTTGCCAGAGGTTAGTTTGACCCTGCAACAGCTTCTTTTTAATTGGTAACAGTTCCGTTATCGGGACAAGTACACAATGTCAACTATGTATAAATCACAAGCTCGTTGTCTTGACATGGAAAAAACTACAGAGATGCAGAGCTATCTGTTGAATATAGTTAGTGATAGAACAGCAG